TAATCTAACACAAATTAACGCTATCTATAATATTTAAAATTTTACTAAACAGCTAAATCAAGTTGTTATTAGTTTACTCAGCTGTCTACTAATGGTACAATATCTATAAAACTATATTAATACTAGCGAATTTCCCTGTAATCAATGTTCAGTTCTTCAACCTTTATCTTTCACATACACTAACACACCCCTATTAACATACAAGGAACTTTGATCAACTCTGTAAACTGGAGTTCTTTATTCTCTCCATTTCTCTCACATCCCAAGTGGTGAATGAGAACTCAGTCAAGGAAAACAAATAAAACATTAAAAGAACAATGACTCCAAAAGGTGAACTAACTAATTAATAAAACTTAGAAGGCATATTACACCTCCAATATATTCAAATAAAATATGACTCAAAGTTTTCTAAGTAAATTAGGAAAATATCATCTACTTCATGAAGTTATTACAATATGTACTAGATATAAAAAGTATCTACAAATAGTAAGTATTCCCTTCTTCTTAGTTTTCCCCTATTACATATAGATTAAAATAATACTTACATAACAGGAAAAGCTAGATGATTCAACTATAATTCATAATTTTTCTTAAAAAATCTAATTTACAAAAAAATTATGAGATCAAATTAAACTATATGTAGATTCTTACCTTATTTGCCTTAGAATAAAAAGATTTAATATAAATTTAAAAATGCAGATTTCTTTTAAGAGTGGAACATAATTTTTAAAAAGCTGTTGAAATATATAATTCTCTAGTAGATAAGTACTTAGATTTCAATTACACTAAGGAGATTTTATTGCCCCAAGGCTTCTGAAAAATGTGATATTGTTACTAATCCCCTAAGATAAGGCTTTTAAGAGAAATTCAGTGTAATTTATTTACGGTTCCTTTATCTCTCAAAGAGGTCAGGAAATTCGGAACTTTAATGTAACCATAACCGTTCTTTGACAATCTATGGGAAAAGCAATATAAGTTCTAACAACTTGGAAATTTTATCTTACAAACTGAAAAAAAACGGGTGATTTGTAAGTGACTACCTCTAGATAAAAGTATATAAAGGCAACCAGCCTTTTAGTATTTCCCCATGTCCTATCAACCTGAAGAGATTAAAATGCGGGAACAAGAGTCACCATGATGTAGGCATCAAATAAACCATACACACTGAGTCAAACACTCACCAGCACCACTATTGGGCACCTAGTGGCCCAGTCTGTTACTTCCCAACTTTATTGCTTTATCTGTTCCCTCAGCAAACGTGGGCTGAGAAGTCCAACCCTGGCCATAACCTTTGATGTGCCTGTCCTCTATTCCAACATTGCTTTCCTCATTAGAAGAGACAGATGGCTAATCTTAGTACCTTAAGTGATACTAGTGCGGGGACTCCTTCCCTATGGAACTCCTCATCCCTGTCCATCACTTGGCTTGGGATGAGTGCTAAGGGACAGCATATGCAGCATGTAACTTTCCTCATTGGCTCATGGTACACTAATACCCACCTCCAAAAGCAAATTTTAAAACATAAGGTAAGTTTCATGAAAAAATATAATAACAATCAACATGTATGAATTTACCAAATGCATCCACAAATATCACATTTATGACTTACGTAGGAGCTGACAAAAATCAATGTCTTTTGATCACTGTCATTCACCTACTTCTGCCAGGCAGAGTTTGACTTTCAGAACTAGCCTTGGGCTAATAACACTTCCAGAAGTTCCCCCATGACACAAAATACTTCCCTGAATGACTAACACTATTTAGTAGCACTCCAAAAAGCCCTTTGGAGAAACCTTCCCATAAGAGACAAAGATAATAAAATGTGATTAAATAAAAAATACAGACTGGGCACAGTGGCTCAGGCCTGTAATCCCTGCACTTTGGGAGGCCGAGGTGGGTGGATTGCCTGAGTCAGGAGTTCGGGACCAGCCTAACCAACATGGTGAAACCTCATCTCTACTAAAAATACAAAAGTTAGCCAGGCATGGTGGCATAGGCCCATAATCCTACCTACTCAGGAGACTGAGGCATGAGAATCGCTTTACCCGGGAGGCATAGGTTGCAGTGGGCCAAGATTGCGCCACTGCACTCCAGCTTGGGCGACAGAGCAAGACTCTGTGGGGAAAAAAAAAAAAAAAAATTCCAAGGATGTTGCTGAGAAAAATAAAGGGTACTTTGAATGAAAGCGTTTGGCTCCAGGGCCTCAGTGTGGACTTTGGGTGCCCTGAGCAGGTCTGAGGGAATCCACAGCCAGAAGGGTTATAATACAAACTTGATACTCTGTCAATAGTGGTAAATAAAATATAAAAATAAAATCACTAACATTTGTATCCAGCAGCAATATGTAATTAGAAAGTTTAGTTCCTAGAAAAGATTTCGTTTACAATAGCCGCCAAAACCTATGACACCTACAAATAACTGTAACAAAAGTTTTACATTATGAACTTTTATGGAGAAAGTACTAGACTCAATTGAAGGTGTTGCAGAAAGACTTGAATAAATGGATCCATAAAACAAGATTGATGATGGAAAAATCCCTCAGTATCAAAAATGTGGCAATTTTTCCCCATTAATCTACAACTTCAATGAAATTCCAATCAAAGTTTTCACCTAATTTTTCTCATATCAGCTTTGAATAAAAGTAAGATGCGAAAAGAGCCAAGGCAATTCTGAAGGCCAAAGAGGGGAGAGGGAGAGAAAAGGACTTTCTTATAAGATACACAAAGTAATAATTGTTGGAACATAATTCAAGCCGGAAGTTATGGAGGCAGGAATGTAAAGATGTCATGAAACTGATCTGTCTCAAGATAAAGAGATTTCAGGAACATGCTGTTGACTTCAAAAATCAGCATGTAAAAGAAAACATCGTGTGATAAGGAAGTATAAAATATGATAACATTAAAACTCTGTTGTTCGAAAAATATCCACATGTAGTAATCATTTTTTAAATGGATGGAAAGAAAGCATGCAACTTACTGACAATGATCCCTCTGGACAGACAGTTAAAAGAAATAGAGTAGAGAGGAGGACAAAATGGACTTCAACTTACATGAAATTTTTTTTTATAGATCTGAAACAATTAAAAAATATGTGCATATTTGTTAATGCAAGATGATAAAACTCCTGTGGTTGTTACATTGCTGTCTGCAGTTTTCTATAAGTTTGAAAGTTTCAGGAATCAGAAAGAGAAGAAAATTATGGAAATTATGGAAGACAAGTTTGAGGAGAATTCATATGGGTCTGTGGAAATGCCTCCTCAGGGAGTGAGCCACATGGATTTGGAAACCACTGCAACGGTAACCAGGCAAAGTTCTTTACACATCCAGCTATGAATCCAAGGCCAAATGTGTGCACACTTCTTCAGCCTGGCATATCTTTGTAAAAATAACCATAGGTCCTACTGGTTTAATCACAATATTCATGGCAACTTTCAAAAGACTTTCTGATCGGCCGGGCGCGGTGGCTCAAGCGTGTAATCCCAGCACTTTGGGAGGCCGAGACGGGCGGATCGCGAGGTCAGGAGATCGAGACCATCCTGGCTAACACGGTGAAACTCCGTCTCTACTAAAAAATACAAAAAACTAGCCGAGCGAGGTGGCGGCGCCTGTAGTCCCAGCTACTCCGGAGGCTGAGGCAGGAGAATGGCGTGAACCCGGGAGGCGGAGCTTGCAGTGAGCTGAGATCCGGCCACTGCACTCCAGCCTGGGCGACAGAGCGAGACTCCGTCTCAAAAAAAAAAAAAAAAAAAAGGACTTTCTGATCAAGTCTTAGAGGCACGAATCGTCCATGTTGATGATTAATTTGTGAAATAAGAGAAACTCTCAATATATATCCATTGACAAGGTAGAAAGAAAGCATTACAGTTTTTCTTTTAATTTTTTAAATTTTTAAAATTTTTAAGTAAGAGATAGGGTTTCACTATGACCAGGCTGATCTTGAACTCCTGGGCTCAAACAATCTGCCCACGTTGGACTCCCAAAGTGCTGGGATTACAGGCATAAACCACCATACCCAGCCTGCATTAAAGTTTTTAGTGAGCATTAGTGAATTGCCTTTGTTCCACATTGTATTCACAGAGTGAGATGAGATACCAAAGAAGCACCCATGTCTTATCTTTACAGGATTCAAAAGAAATTATTGGGTTCCATTTTCTTTACAATGAGAACCCTACATCATTTTCTGCCATCTCATTTTATCAGCCACAAAATATACGTTAGCAAAATGATAGCTTTTAAATAAATAAGTTCTAATTTCCAAGTCGTAAATAATTGCTAAACACAGCTATATTTCCTCTGGAGTAATTTTTCAGTTTAGCCAATTGTTCCCTACTATAAAAATAAATAAATAAGTTACAAAACTACATACAGGAGAAGAAATAGTTTTGGGACTTGTATAACTCTGAGTCAGGGTTGCATGAAATTGTCAAACCACAGCACTCCCAAGATCTTCTAGTGTTAGTTGATTAGTTAAACCAGCAGGATTATTCAGTAATGGATTTTGCTCTGGGCAATGCTAATGCAGCTATGCTCCTGATGAAAACTAACCTCAAAATTTGGGCCGCATTGCCTTTGACTACAGCTCCATGTAATGATTAGCACTGCTCCTTTCTACACAGAAAATGGAAGAGAAAATTGAAGTAATTATGTTGGCAATTTAAATAAAAAAGGAAATATCCAGATACTTGAGGCAAAGGGGAATTGGAGATTTGAACTAAGCAGATAACAATCTGAGTTCTCAATTTCACTTTGCCAAGAATACAAAGCATTTTATAAATGAAGATTACTGAGCAGAGATTTCTAAAGGTTACGTCTAGTCCACATGAGCAGAAGCCCCCAAACTAATCCTCTGCTGGCTATCTCAGCAAAATGTGGCGTTAATTAAGGCTATTTCAGTTTTCTTGTGTTATTCAAATTTTCAGAGACTGCGTTTGCCAATAAGCTGTCAGGCAAGACATCCTCACAAACATGAATATATAACTTTTTAATTCAATTTTCACTTACCTTTGAACTTCTGGAGGACAAGCAGCTGCCATGAGGAATGTGAGTAACAGCTGTCAATGATTCTCGTTCTGTCTCCCACCAAAGAACTAGTTCCTCCTAAGAAGTGGCAGCGGCCTCTTCTTCTAGAGTCCAGCGGCCGCTTGTTGCATTTGCCCCCTATTATCTCAGCTACTCTGTTTTATGTTCTTTACTGCTTCCAGCCTGTTGTCACTGCTGATGTCATTATTCTTCTCCTTGGCTACCCGCATCCCCGATGCCAGCCCTGTAGGATATGGGTCCAATAAATAACGCCTGGCCATGTATCTTTGTACTCTGTTTCTCTTGATGCCGAGGAATAATTTTGTATAACTTTAGAGTTCATCACTCCCCACCTACCCATGGCCCTGTCTTTCTTCCATTTGATCAATCTTATTCAGGTAATATAAAAGAGGACCCTCAATTCATGAACCCTTACCGCCAGACAGTAAATAGTTTTAAACCATTTCAATTGCACTGTCAGATTTTGTAACACTTTTATTTATTAATTGCTTAATATTCCTGGACTGATTAGGAAGTTTAGCCTTTTAACAGTATGATACCTCCAATCAGTTTGGCCCTCCTGTGAATAATAATGATTTCCTTCTGCCTACCTGCCTTTCAAAGTTGGACTTTTGTTTCTCCTGACTTTGGATTGCATGGAAATATCACCTCTTCCAGGGCCTCAAGCCTACCAGCTTTTGGACTGGAACTACACCATCAGCTTTCCTGGGTCCCGACCTTGCCAACTGCGATTCTATTCTTGGGACTTGTTTAGTCTCTAGAATTATGTGAGCCAATTCCTTATGTTACACAAACACAAATACTATATATATAATACACACACACACACACACACATCTTATATAACACACATACATATTATATATATAATATGTGACATATATACCAATATCTTATATATTCTTTTTCTCTGGGGAACACTGACTGATACACCAACTCCAGCTCACTCTGATATTTGTTTTGTTTACTATCCAAGTGTTTTTAAATTGTTTTTCTAAATTATGAGTTTAGATTGTTTTATTTTAAATGTTTCCCCACTTGTAAATAATTGAAGAGTCTCATTCCCAAAGGCAGTTGCTCTATGATCAGCTTTCTCTTTTTCTTATAAATACGGAATCAAAATAAAATACGTGCTGGCCCTCCATCCTGTTGCAATTCTTCAAACTATTCTTCATATTATGTTCATGACCCATGTTCACAAAAAAGAGTCTCCCATGAACTTCTGCTCTATTCTAACTTCTGGAAGTTTACTGTCTGTGAGGCTTCATAAAGTGGCCTTACATTTTCCACAGCTGACAATGCCCCTCATATACCATCCTGTCTTGTGAGGCTCCCAAGGCTGATTGTCAATACTTAGGGCTCAGGGTAGTGCCCAGTTGTTTGAGATTGGATTATCTCTGGGTCAGGAAAAGGATTTTGCCTCAACACTATGCTACTTTCCTACCAACCCTCCCCCAAGACACAGATCCTGCTGGCACTTAGGAGAGACTGTGAAATTCCTGGCAGAAGCCAAGCTCCTTGTCTTTCCAGTTTTTTTTTCTGTCCCTACTAAAGTTTTTAAAATTGTAAGTTCCATTTTAGTTAGAGCTCAAGCTCTAAGAAAAATGTCCTTCCTTACCTTTAGCTGATATCAAGAATATGTCTCCCTACACAGAGCTCAGTATTGAGAGGGCAGACTTCATCTACATACAGAGATCACTGACCTTCCCTGTTGCATTAGGCAGCTTATTTTAGACTAAATCTTTCTCAATACAGATGCTCCTCAATTTCCAATGGCGTTATGTCTCAAAAAACTCATCATAAAAAAAAAAAAGAAAAAAAATCACAGGTCAACAATGCATTTAATGCCCTGATAAGCCCATCTTAAAGTCAAAAATTGTAAATGTAACCATCATAAGTTGGAGACCCTCTGTATTTGTGAAAGTAGGAATAGGATGTTGAGAGCAGGAAGGAGGAAAAAAAAAAACCAGGTCAACATTTTAAACCATTATTTTATTAAATGATCATCTTTTACATGTCATCAGACCTTACCCCTGAAGTGCAAAAAACAGTTTGAGGTATTAAAACTGAAGAAATGTTTGCACATATTTTGTAAGGTTTTTCACACTATAATAACTGTAAAATTCAGTATAACTAAATACTCCATATAACTGCAGATTTATAAGAACCAAGTTGTAAAAAAACAGTTGGTTTATCTCATTGTAACTCTGATTCTTCCTTTTATGATGAAAGGGTGGCAAAAAATAATATGATACTTAAGTTGCTTCCCAAATGATATGTGTCCATTATTCGATTCTATAAAATGGAGTATAGAATTGAAAAGGCCAATAGCTGAAACAGTGGCCGTTCCAAAAGCATAAAAATCAAATTGACAAAACAGCTTAAATGAGATAATGTCCTATTCACAGAACTTAATCCTAGAATCAATGGCAATTCACTTAAAGTATCTGAAATAGATTTACCAGCATATTTCAATACTATCCATGTACACACAGGGTAACATTAGTAGTATGGTCAGTTAATCATGTTAACACAGATAAAGTTCAGAACAGTCACTTCAAAGTTATTTTGAAGTAACACAGGGAAGAGTAGACTGGCTTTTTACGTGACTTAACTTTTTTTGTGTGTGAAGAAATTATCCAGAGACTTTCCAGATCCCACTTCCCTTGGCATCTACACCTTGAAATAAAAAGTTGATGCAATTATATAGCTAATTATTGCAATATAAACACTTTCTCCTGAAATATTCAGGCAAATTGGAGAAAAAGTGTTTTTCAGCCTTGAGGACTGATTTAATTATTAACTCACATTGTAGACATTTCATTTGAAGCAACCTAATATTGCTTGATGATTCACATGCAGTATAGTAAATTAAGTCCTGACTAATGGGTCACCAACGTTGAATAGAAATTAGCGATTACAGCAATTTCTTATAGTTAACATGGCACTTCTAGTAACTTCACATGCTGGGTTTTGGTTGGCTATTAAATTGTTTTATTTGTTCAGTGCATAGGTAGCTTAAACAAAGAGAACGTTGATTTTTTTTTTTGTAAGAACATCGCCTGCTTAAAACTTGCTTTTTTGCAAAACTGATAAAGGATCAAATGCTTCTTGCAGTTTACTATTAGAGGAAAATATTGTTTATTCATGGCAATTATGAAACCTACAAGAAGATACCTTAAAAAGAAACCCTCTCCTGATTAATTGTATTGCCTGGCGCCAAAAATATGGGGGGAAAGAATATCTTTTAATGTAGATTCCAACAATGTTCTGCAAACGACACTTAACCTAAGTTTCCTTTTTGTTTTAGGAAAAAGGGAATCTAAACTGTTCAAAACCCTTCTAGGAACAGTAGGTTTATGAGCTGATGATAATGTTCTCTTTTCACAACTACAGCTTGTTTTCACATGTAATGATTCCTGAATTAAAAATAATCTTTGCATAGTTACCTCACTGCTGGAAGCACAGCTGCAACAGCAGTTGAACTGTTTACCTGGGAGGAGAGTTAACATGTGCTGATGTTCTCACGTGAACCAGAAGAAGAAAACCGATCACAGCCATTCCTATTCTAAAAAATAATGATCTAGGGACACTTAGTACTAGGACACTTGGAAGCTAACAACTATTTTCACTATCTTCTATACAAAAGGATGCCCCAGGTTAAAAGATATGTCCCAAGAGTTTCTTTTAAAATGAGTATTGTCAGATATGGAAATCAGCCAAAAACACAGGAGGTCATAGAATGAGTAGTTAAATCTCAGGTATCCAAATTGGCCAGTCCAATTAAAACACATCCTGAAGCAGGGAATATCTGGATTAAAACAAAAAGCAACATTTATTCTAGGACCACATGTGCAAATCTAAATGCTGCTGCAGTGGGCTTTAATGCGTAAGGGGGAAATGCAACACATTTCATTTTTTGTCTACTCCAACCTTTTATCTTTTAACCAACAATCAAAAGCAAACTGGTGTAAAATGAAATATTACTGATCCTGGAAGAGCTAAGTCCTGAATATTTTTCACTTATTGTCAATATATTCATTGGTAGCATAAAAGTACGGCTGGCCACATACATCAGTGACAATAGCAATATTATAAACTTCTTTCACTATCATTATGCTGACAAGCTACACTGTGAAATTTATCAAACCTACAAATATTGAATGTGGACTGACATGAAATTCAGATGGAACACTGACTGCAGTCACACATAGTTTAGTCAGTGAAGCCTTCTCCAGAGAGGAGGCACCTGTTACAGTCAGTCAAAGACTGGGTTTCTTATGCCATTCAACACTAAACTGGTGGGTCCCTTCCTGTGCAGAAGGGCCAGTGAGCACAGAAGAAGAGAAAAGCTCGTAACTCCCAGAATGACCATTCCCGATATCAGTGCACTGGTGATGGCGTTCAGCTGGAAGGGAGGCACACTTGGAGAACCTGCAAATAATGAAACACACCCAGTTGTGAACGCCCCATATAATATTTATCCCACCTTAACCCAGTTTTACCTGCAAAATGTCTTTCATCAGCATCTCATAGAATAGCAGCATGGCACTTAATTGTGTTACCATCTATTTGTAATTCAACCCAATACCAAAGGATTGTATGGTTTAGAGGCTGCCCATGGGCCGCCAAAACCAAAAATACCAAAAAGCTATCAAATGCTATAAAAATTGACCAATAGATCACATATGAGTTTGAAAACCCTCAGTGAACTGTTATCTAAAATGTACCAAACTTGGAAAACTCAAGCTCATTACACTGAGATGATTACAGCTTTGTAACTGATCACCAAAAATGTAAAAAAAAAACACAGCAAAATATGTTAATTATCTTACCAAGTTGTGAATTGTTGGTTGGAGTCTCATCTGAGAGGAAAAAACAGGAAAAGAGAAGTGACATCATCTCTCCAAATATTTACCTTTGTTTATTCTGACCAATAATTACTTTGTACCTACATTTTTACCCAAATCTCCTCTTACTTCCACCCATAATCTCCTTGAGTAAGGCAAAAATGAAAGTCCTCCTAAATCATTCTGCTTTTCCACGCCCTGTTTCATATGTCCTGGATTTCATCATCTTTCTATTCCCCAAGCCCACATCCTGCACCTGTCCTGGGTATACAAATGTAATCGAAAAACATCTATACTATGCTGTTTTCTTGCCTGCCAACTTTGTTTCATCATTAGCTCTCCAGTCAGGTTAGTGGGGGCAGTAATTGTTAACAGCTATTACATTTTTTATGGTCCTATAACCTGCTATTTGTTATTCTGTTATACAGAATATTCATTATTTAGTGCCACTCTATTTTAAGTATTGC